TCGGTACATTTTAAAGCGATATCAAGTACAATTATTTTTGTGTCAATACTTTATTTATTTATTAAAAAGGAAAAGTATAAATCTGAACGTAAGATATATAAAAGAAGTAAGTAAATTTATATTAACCCAATTATTTAGAATTAATAATCTGAGTAAAGAATGATAAAGCAATAGATCACATATTTATATTCAAATTTTATTAATTGTTACTGACTAGATCGTACCTTATACATAATCTTATTACATGGTATTCGTGAGATGGCCACCGCCTCTTCGTTGCCTAAGTGTATTATTTCAGGTACTTATCAGTTAGGTCATTTTTAATACCTCTATGAGAGGAACTTAATACAAACCTTTTTATATCTACTTGTCTTTACTATTCTAAACCCTCGGACTCTACAACCCCGATAGAACCTCGTTGCTCCTGAATTAACCAAATCCCCAAATATCCAACATTGGTCAAATAAAATACCCCCAACCAACAACATTTTTGCTTATATTTGTATCACTACAATTTTGAGATAAAATATGTTTTATTTAAATTTCAAACCCAAGTTCTAAAATAAAATAATTTTGTTGGTATAATTATGAAGTATGTGATTTTTTTTTCAGTCTCTTAGAAGCTAATTTATCAAAAACAAAATTTAAAAACTTATTTAAATTTTGGATAAAAAAAGTTACTAAATTATAAAATAATAATATATAGACAATGACATAGTAATATTTTTCATTTTACCTAAATTGAATTTTATTTTCATAAACAAACAAATTTACTTTAAAATGTGACACATCATGGTAAAGTAATGTAAATATAAGTAAATGAAGTAATTGTAAAATTATTTTTTATCTAAGACGATTAAGCAAATTTCATTTTAAATTGAAAATTTGTGTTTTCATATGTTTAGCAATCATATTAATTGTTAGTTCAAAATAAAAATATGTACATTTACCTAAAGAAAAACATTTTAAATTACTTTACTAGATTTTACTATATGAATTTTATAATTGATTTTTAAACACATTTATTTACTTTTTCAACTAA